AGCTGAGAACTGCAGCGAATTTCAACCAATTACAGTGATCTGTTTGTTCCGTTTGGGCTTTCATTCAGCATTTATAGAAGTGCTTTTCCTCTCCCGATGAAGGATGATGAAAACCACCCACATAGTCTGGAAGCCCCGAGCCAGTAGCACCGTCTTCCCCATTCAATGTTTCTGGACCCGGTTGTATATGGCTACTGGGCTGTGGAGGGTTTTATGTGGTCTTGGAATGTAGAGCCCGTAATGGGAGTTGGCGAGTCTGCCTGGGCGCCTCTGGATTCTACTGATGCCGCGATCAATATGCCCTGGAGGCATCAACCCCGACACCTCATACGAACGTTGGGGTGTTACTGTTCGGGAAGTTGGGACCTGTTAGGACTTTGAGGGTGTAGGATTCCAAGAGTTCGAATGGCGGAAGTCGGACATGGAGGTCAGTGATAGTTCATGCACCGACGGACGGCAGACTCGAAAGATTGAACGCTCGAGCATGAATAAACTCCCTCATAGACTGAAGAAAGTCCCGGACTCATCACCTAGCTGGACCGAACTGTAAGTAAAAAGCAGACGCGTCATCCCTGAACAAGTGCTTAAGCCTCAATCCTGTAAGACTCTAAGACCATACAGCTTCCACCTGCAGCACCCCTCTTGAAGGAAGAGAGAGGCTGGTCGCTGCGCGTCAAGGAGGACTGTTTTCGGTGGTGGTGGTGGTGGTGGATCCGCGTTTGTGGATGGGACGTCAGGGGTTTTATCGGGCTTCAGGCTTTACTCTGATTTCTTCGCGGTACTGGTTGACATTGCTTCAAAGTGAGTGTGTTTGTTTCGTCTAGAGTCTAGGCAGTACAGACAGACTGCAGGAGTTTGCTTGCAGGCTTGGGTTGAGCTTTCGGCGTGAAGCACTTACCAGCAGGGTCCTGCTGGGCGACGGTGACAGACGTCAAGGATACTCGGCATTGCCGACTATTTACACCGATATGTTGCTTGAGTTGGCTGCTTCCTAGGTTCCCGTATTGAAAGTTCAAAGCCCGGGAAAGCTGCAAAGCCACTCAGCCATGACATCTACTGGCTTGACACCTCCAAGCATCCATTATGAAATAGTAGCGTGCTACATCGACTCTACACCATAACGCAAGGAAGTTGCAAACCTTAAGGCCCCAATGCACAAGAGCTTCTCCGGAGGAAGTCAACGACTGGATCCTTGCGGAAGACTATCGCTTCGGCGGTAAGACACGAAGTCGGCTAAGCAGCAAACCAGGCAGGATGCTACAGCAGTTCAGGCTCTGGGTACATAGCTATCCAGCTTCTTGGGACTTGCTGCATTTATGGTTAAAGGTTGCGGAACTTAGGATGAAGGATTTAAGGTTCTACGGTTTTGAACTGTAGGAATTATTGGGGATTTATAGTCTAGGTTTTAGAGGTTCAGAGTTTGGGGGCCAAATTTCGAAACCCATGCCGAAGCCTTCAGCCTCAGTCTCCGCACCTGCGCAGGGTGTAGCTTTAGGGCCGCCGGAGGGGTTATCGGATGGAAAACTTTGCAGGTTCGGCAGGGCTGCATGAGGGCCAGAAAGCCTGGCTTTCCTTCCCTCAGGATCATGTGGGGTTTGTATCAGGACTGGGAATAATGGGAGCTTTCCGGACCCAAACCTTGAAGCTTTCGCTCTACTGCAGGCTCCGGGGTGTAAGGTTTTGCACTGTTTGGACGGAGGGAGGACTCCCGGTTTCAGGCTTTGGGGTTGCAGCTGCAGATCCGCGGATTGAGGCTTCCCGGCCCTGAAAACACCAAAAGACGAAACACAAAAACAAAGTTCAAGGTAGCACAAGTGCTTCATGCTAGCCTATAGTTCACTAGCGTTCTCTAGTTCCTACCTTCCAAGAGCTCCGTTATGGCTGTACAGACACAGTCTGACTCCAAAGGAAAGCCGTTCCAAATTCTAAAGCCAGGCAAGCCCATGTTCCAGCTGGATGCCTTCCAGTCCTTTGCCCTCGGGGCGGGGCTGGTCATCGCTATCAACTCGGCTCTTCTGTTGCAAGGCAGGGCCTTCTGGAGCTGCTTTAAAGACAAGTCGAACAAAAGGATGTCCTTCGGATCTAGCTGTTCACTGCGGGGCTGCGGTCTCTACACTTTGGTGGCCATCCTGGGGTTTTGGTGTTACTGCGGCCCTAGACACAGATCAGGTTTTAGGGTTTTGGTCATCCCGTCTGCAGATTGAAGTGTCTAGCTTTCACCAAATTGGAACCTAGGTCTAGGGAGCCCTCCAAAACCCCAAACCGATGAGCGACCTAGTGGCGAGGCCATACGCCCGAGCCCTGAAGAACAACCCTTGTTGGGGATCGACTCGGGCAGTTTATTGTAGGTTACTGTCAGCACAACGCACATGGCATCAGCAGAGATTCATGACATCCGGAGTTGTGGGCACATGGCAGCAATTGTGGGGACAAGCTTACAGGACTTTGTTTGAGATGCTGCGGGCCGGCAATGTAGGAGAGTGCCCGAAAGGCGTACTGCTTGTTTTCTGTATGCGGCTGTGCTGCACCATGAGCCGATTCCGACCGGAGGCAACAACCCGCTCTTCTTTGACCGGAGTGAGTTTGAGCAGCAGCTGAAATCGCAGGGGCTCAAGGCCTGGCAGGGACAGGGGACAAGCGGGCGATGTTTGCACTGTTTGTCGGGTCTGCACATGCCGCTATCTATTCGGACTGTCAGCAACCGAGACTCTGCCTTACAACCGTCAGCAAAACTGCGACGAAAGGCACAAGAAAGACAACCAGGACGACGAGGATGAAGGCAGAAGAAGCAACAACAACCACAATAATACCAACACTAGCAGCAACAGCAACAATAATATTACCTCAACAGCAAGCAACACCAGCAGCAACACGCGCAACAGCAATAGCAACAGCGAAAACAACAAACTAATTGCAGCAGCAGCTGATGCAGCCATAGACGTAGCGAGCACGAGGACGACTGCTACGACTTTCACTGCCCCTTTTAATGCTGCGACTTGACTGCTACGGCTGCTATTAAACCCTACGATTACGACGCCGACGGCATCTACTTACTATCACTGCCACTATCTCTACCGTTGTTACTGCCACTACCACCGCTGTTTCTACTGCCACTACTGCTGCTGCTGCT